TGGATATCCACTCGGTCGAGGACTACAAAGCTATGATTGGCAGAGGTGACCGCCAAGAAATGAGGGCAGCTTACCTCGCCAAGTTCGGCACGGAACCGGAGAGGGAATACGAAGGCTCGGACCACATGCTTGGTGTCTTGAAGAGGGTGTTGTACAGGGGAGAGTTCCTGTCGGGCTCCCAGCTTGATCTCAACAAGGTCGTAGCGAACCACGCCAAGGATGGGGAAGTGAAGTTCCAGAAGCGCCAAAGCAAAGAAGACGATGAGTGGATCCATGAGGAATCCAACCGTGTCCAGTCGGAGAAACAGTGGAAATGGGTCCTCATGATCTGGCGTACGTCCCTCCTCATGGTTGTGGCAACATGCACGGGCCCCTCGTGCATTCACCTCACCAAGGCAGACTTGGGCGACTTCTACAACTTCCTCTTCGGAGATACCATTATGGGCCGCGAGCCCGCCCCCTCACTGGGGGTGTTAATGACAGCTGAAAGAAAGGTCTGGCGCCAGGTGGCCCTGAACATGGCCAAGGACGAAACCTTGACCATCTCAGCTGCCCTCAAAGAGATCCAGAATAACTCGCGATTCTGGTCTATGGAAATCGATGAGTTCTGCCTCCGTCGCCACCACACTGTCCAGCCCAAGGGCCCCAGGAAAGGCAAGGGCAAGGGCAAGGACAAGGACAAGGGAAAAGTCTTCCAGCAGTGGGATTACTGGAAGGGCAAAGGCAAGAAGCCGGGAAAAGGAAAAGGCAAGTCCAAGAAGGAAGACTGGCGTTGGTCCACTCGCTCGGAGGAGACGGTGGAAACTCCCCCTCCTCCGACGGCTACTTTCGCTCGCACTAAGGCACCGCACCGGACGGCAAGGAGTTCTGCAAGAAGTACCATGCCTTCAACAGGTGCCCGGGGGACTGCGGTCGCTCCCACAACTGCCCTGTGATTCTCCCGGACGGTAAGATCTGCGAGAAGAACCACAAGGCGGCGGACCATTCGTGAGAAACCGGCCCCTCCCCTCCGGGGGATGCAGAGGGGCGAGGGGCCATCTTTTTCCTCCCAGCTAATAGCGTGGTGGCAAGCTCAGGACTTCCTCGCTCCAGCCTGGCGTCTGTGGGGACGGTTGCCTCAGGTGCCGATTCCCTACATGCTCGGGTCGGGTCGGGACTTCCTCGGAATTCCCAGAGTATGCCTCGGGCTGCTCCAGTGGGGGATACCACGGAGGCAATCGACCCTGGGAATGCGGGCCCGCCGCCTCCCCTGGAGAAGAGCTCTCCAAAAGTAGCGGCTGGCCAGGGTGACCGCTGGAATCGAGACCGCTGGTCCCATGCTCTTCCTACTCTTCCGGGCTTCAGAGGCCTCCCACAGAGACTCTTGGATAGACTCCTTCCTGGATTGGCTTCTTGGCCTTCTGCGGGCAAGCCGTCCCAGCCTACAGTGCTCATTCTCTATGCTGGGAAGGATGATCCGGAGCACTAAGGCGGCGATTGCACAAGTCGCTCCTCTCTTGGGGGCCTCAGTCAGAGAACTGGATATCTGTAGAGGTGGGATCTCCCAGGATGTCCTTTCTGAGGAGACCTTTTCTGACCTTTGTGCCCTGGCCCTCTCTGGCGACCTCATGGCAATCATCGGAGGGCCCAATTGCAGGACTTGGTCAATTCTGCGACACTTTCCTAGAGCTGGCTGTCCTGGTCCAGTTAGGGGCAGGAAAGGCCAATCAGCCTGGGGCCTCGATGACCTTCCGGAGTCGGTGCTCAGGGATACGGATAATGACTCTCTGCTCTTGCTCAGGATGTTGCTCCTCTACCACCTCTCGTTGGCGTCTGGCCCTCGGCCCCCTGACTTCCTCCTGGAACACCCGGAGGATCCCGCCAACCAAGGTACCTCGGAAGCTCAGCAGAATTGTTCTTCATGGTGGACCACGGCCCAGTGTAAAGACTTCGCGGACCTTACACGGATGAAGATACACTGCTTTGACCAGTGCATGCTGGGGCACGGGGCCAGGAAACCCACGGCGGTTCTTAGCAATCTGGCCCTTGACTGGGATGGCCTCAGGTGCAGGCATCCGGACCACCCTGTGTGGTGGTCCAGTTCTGAGGTTGGCAATTGGCCACTTCCTTGCTAGCCTTCTTCTCCACATCCAAAAACACGGATGGAGACCGTTCCATTGCTTCGGCACTGGCTCCGGTGACGGCTAGTACCTTAATTGTCCGGCTGGGACACCGTTCTCGCCCCCTCAGGGATGGTGGTGGTAAACCATCCCCTGGGAGACTCAAGCCGGAAGACAGGGGCAAATGCAAGTTGGCCTGGCTTGGCCAGTGGATCGAGGAGACACTCACCTCGGGGACGGTTGCCACAGGTGCCGATTCCCCAGGGGTCTCTCCTATGACGCCCTTTCGGGAATCGGTCAGGACTCAGGCGCGGGGCTGCCCCTGGCCAGACCAGTGGGTCGCAGACCTCCGCCAACAACTGGCATCACGCCTCTCTTCCCGACTCCACCGACCTGTTTCAGCTGAGGTCTCTCCGGGACAACCGTTCGCTTTGGACATTCTCCAAGCTTTGGTGGAGCTGGCGGAGGACCCGGACCAGGACTTCCTCCAACACCTACGTGAAGGAGTCCCCCTTGGTGTGGACGGTCCGACGCTGCCGGACCCTAACATATGGCCGTCCAAGCAGGAGCTGGGGAATGCACCGAAAGACTTGGAGCCCCCGGCGCCCACTACGGCCGACAACTACCCCAGCGCTGAGGTCTTCGAGGACACCATAGAGAAAACTTTCCTGAGGAAGGCTGGTCCCCTGTCGGAACAGGAGGCAGCGGACCTCTGCGGCTGCTCGGTCGCAGAGCTGTGTGTCGGGGCCATGGCGGGCATCCAGGAACTGGACAAGATCAGGACCATCTTCGACGCCTCGATCATCGGCGTCAACGACAACATCAGGGCGAATACTGACAAGAAGACCACGGCCCCGACCCTCTACGACTTGCTGTTCGCTTGGCTCCACTTGGCGTCGAAGGACTTGACCCTCTTCAAGTCGGATGTGAGCAAGGCCCACCGGAGGATCAAGGTTCTCAAAAAGCACTGGCGGTACATGGTGGCCAAGATCAAGAAGAAGTTCTGGGTCAACAAGGTCGGCACCTACGGGGTGGCCTCGGCGCAGCTTTACTGGGGGCGATTGGCAGCCATCCTCACCCGCCTCTCTTACCAGATTTCGGAAGTTTTCCTTTGGCTCCTGGTTTTTGTTGACGATTTCATGGCGGTGATGAAAGAGAGCCTTGGAGAACTTGGGGCGGCCACCCTCATGCTCTTCCTTACTTTGCTGGGCTGCCCTATCTCTTGGCACAAGAATGCCCTTGGGAAGGTCAACCGTTGGCTTGGGTACATGGTCAACATCTCAGAAGGCTCGGTGTGGCTCCCGGAGGAAAAGTTGGCCATCCTCCGCCCGGCCTTGTTGAAGTTGGAAGCAGGTGAACTCCATACCAGAAAGGAAGTCACCTCCCTGCTGGGCAAGTTGCAGTGGGTGGCGAAAGCCTACCCTCAGGTGTGTTCCCACCTCCAGCCACTCTACGCTTGGGAGCAGAAACTTGAACGGAAATGCAGACCGGGAGACCTTGTACGTTTTCTGGCAACTCTGCTCATCTCCATCTTGGACTCTGGCCCCTGCGTTCCTCTTCGTCTCCAGCACAACACTCCATGCTACGGGAGCAGTGATGCCGGTGAGGACGATGGCCGGGTGGCTATTGGTGGTTGGTTCTCGCCCTCGCTTAACCCCACCAAGGCGGAGGTCCTGTGGTTCTCCATGGACGTCCTTACCACTCCATGGGTGCGGCCCCTCCTGGCGCACACTTCTCCGAAGCGCCGAATTGGTGCCCTGGAACTCCTGGGCACACTCATCCTTTTCCTTTTGGCTGCAGAGTCCGTGGGGCCCTGCATGATTGATGCTCATCTCCCTCTTACTACAGACAATGAGGGCAACGCCTTTTCTGCCAGCAAGAGATCTTCTAAGAAGTGGCCTTGCTCGGCGCTTTTAATGGAGCTCTCCGCACAGGAGTTCCACAAGGGTGTCTTTGCTCAGGTTACCCATGTCAAGAGGAGTTCTAACACGTGGGCAGATCAGCTCACTCACTTTGACTTCGAAGGATTCTCCCCCGGCAATAGGAGGGAAGTTTCCCTTTCATGGTCTCCAAGTTGGATGATCTTGGACAAGCTCCTTGCTTTCAAATCGGAGCAATAGCTCAGGGCTCCTTTCTGGGCCCTGCTTGCACACAGGATACGAATGCCAGGTACGGTTGCCTCAGGTGCCGATTACCTGTGCTTGGTTCCTGTACGGCTCTGCGGGACCTTCTCACTCACGGGATCCCGGGTCATTGCTTTACCTCGGATCGGATTGGGGGTTGTGAAACCCCTTGTTTGATCAATCTGAGGAGGGGTGGCGTATTTCCGACCGGTCTTCGGACCTGTCTGAGCTATGCCTGCCCCGGGTCCCTCGGAATTTTGATCTGATCTGCCACTTCTCGGACCTCGTCGGATTCGGGGAAAAAGTGCGTGTGCATAACCTAGGGCTTGTGGCTGCACTGTGACTAAGGAATATACCATAATTCCCCATAGTTTAGGGTCCTTGAGGTAATGCAGGATTTGTATCATCAACCCTAAACCTTCAAGCTCTATAGAAAACCCTTTAAAGGGACCCTAGGGATTTCTATCATCAACCGAATCACCGCCATGAAGTGCTCACCCATGAAGCCCAAGCTTAACCGCAAGCCCGGATCTTGAGCCCCCGAAGCATGATCCTAAAGCACTACGGTTTAGGGTTTAGGGGTTTAGGGTTTAGGGTTACTAGAAAAGAGAATTACCCCACACCCTAATCACCAAACCTTGAAGGCTAGAAACTGATACCAAAACCCCAAAGCCTAGGCACAAAACCTTACTCCTAAATTGCCTCTTAACAGCTTGAGGCCCTTTAAGGCTTTTGGGGCCCCAGATACAAGAAGCGACGAGTGGCGGCACCCGGTGAGGTGCGTGAAGCTTGCAGCAAGTTGGGTTTGGTCTCAGATGCGGAGGAGCCTGCGATCCAGTCTTTTAGGGTGTGTGGTTTAGGACCTTTGGGGCTTAGGGTTTAGGGCTTAGGGTTTAGGGTCTAGGGTTGTTTGCAGGGCCTATAAGTAAGCCTGTGATAAGGGCTCTATAGGCACGACAGAAGTACAAGGCTCTACAACGTTGGGTTGAGGGTTCGATCATGGTTCGAGGGTGGAAGGGCCGTTTTGGAGCTCGAAGAGTTTCTGGGCGTCTGAAGCTGGGCGATTTTCGTGAGAGTTTGGGTTTCGGGGTTTCGTCAAGGCGGCAAGTCTCTTGGCTTTAATTTATGGCCCGCCTAGAGTGATGTATTTATTCGTGTTCGCAGGTTGTATCTTAATGTCCCCGTTTGTGGGTAGTCTTGCAGCAACATCGTTGTCGTTCTTCGCCCTCCTGAAGCTATGGTTTGAATGGAGAGGTTCAAACCGAAACCTTACACTTCATGCTGAGGTGTCAAGTCGAGTCCTTAACCGAAGGAGACAGAAGCTCCCGAGGACGAGCAGGGTGAGGAGGCCTAAACCCTAAGGCACCTAATGCCCTGATCACAAAATCAACTCTCTAACCTAGCATACCCCAAATAAGAAGAACAGCAGCACTTAAGGGATAGCAGGACCTAGACTCGTGAAGCGCGAAAGCACAAGCAACTCCAAACCTAACTCTCTAGCGCCACCCAAAAAAAGGCAAGCAATAAACCAGGCAGCCCGAAGGTCTTTAGAGCTTTGAAACGCCCGCTTTAGAACCCTTTAGAACATCAAAAATGACCGTAGTTTTGGAGCCCTCGCAGCACCCCTATACAACCCAAACCCGACCGTAATCGACCCTCCCTCCGACAAAAACTGAACCCTACTCCTCTTTAACATCCATCAAGACCCTAAACCTGAAGGAAGTGCAAAATCCCCCCTTTTGAAACTCAACCTGAAGGAACTTTTCAAGGAACCGCTACCAAGTAAACAAAGTGTAACGCACCCTAAACCCCCTGAATCCCCAAACCCTGAGTTCCAAAACCCCCAAAGCCCTAAAGCCCCAAACCTTTCAACCCCAATCATTATCCCTGAACCCCAAAACACCAAATTTCACAAAAAACCTTGGAAGGAGGAGCCCCTGAAACCCTAAACCCTAAACCCCAAACCCCCCCAAAACCCCCCCGAAACCCTAAATCCTAAACCCAAACCTTCAAACCCCTAAACCCTAAGCCCAAGCCTTCAAAGCCCCAAACCCTAAACCCTAAACCCCTAAACCCCTAAACCCTAAACCCCTAAACCCTAAACCCCTAACCCCTAAACCCTAAACCCCTAAACCTCTCTTTCATATAGTAATTTAAACCTTAATGGGAGGACGAGGAGTCCTTCGTCCTGACTCTTGGACCAGGGGCCGCTTCCGTACTTTGCTCCAAGGCCGGGGGGCGTCTTGCGGACTTTTTGGTCGGAAAGGGTTCAGGCTTTTAGGGTTTAGGGTTTTAAGGTTTTGGGGTTAAGGGGTTTTTTGGGTTTAGGGTTTTAGGGTTTTAGGGTTTTAGGGTTTAAGGGTTCGGGGTGGAGGGTTTGGGGTTTGGGGTTTAAGGTTTGGGGTTTGAGGTTAGGGTTTGGGATTCAAAGGTTTAGTAAGGGGGATCAGATCAGAGCTTTCGGATGCAGGATTTAATGGTTTCGGGCTTGTGGTTTTGAAGTTGGGAGGGTTTACAGCTGAGGTTTCTGGTGCACGACCCCAATTTCCAAAATTCAAACTGTGTGCCCCAGATTCACAGGCTTCATGTTCTTGAGTTTGTTTCGAGATGGAGACTGATGAGACAAAGACGGAACCAACATTATCCGCAATACAAAGAGCCCCCGTAACAAGGCACCCCTTTCAAGGAAGACAGTGATATGAGCTTCAGGACTCTAGTCCTAAAGCTCCTCCACTAGAAAGAAGCACTGCGAGTCGAACTTGCCGATCCACGAAGGCACAGCTGTCGGCACACCTGCAGAACCCCGGAGATGTGAGGCAGGCCAGAATTGCTCCTGGATGCTTTAAATGCCAAGCCCCAGACCCTAAGATCTAAAACAGGAAGCCCTGCACCCTAATTTTTAAGCGTTTACCTCAGTGGTCCCGAAATTCCCAGAGCGCTCCTTGCAGAGAGAACATCACATGAAGCCCTAAACGCGAAAACCCGGGCTGTAGCCCTGAGCCCTGCACCGCTGACCTCACGAATCCGAGACGCTGCGATAGAATCGGAACACAGCGAGCGCAGCAACTACACTGAGTTTTTCATCGGGTTTCCGAGAGGTAGGGGGGCACACACATCGACCCTCAATACTCAATACTTCATTGTCGGGAGTCTTAAAGTTACTTGAAAGCTTCACCCCATCAGGGCACCATCAATGAAGCATTTATGAGCACATGAAGCCTGAACGTGTCTACCGTAGGAAATGCTGGAGGCTTGTTTGCAGTTTCTTCTTCCACCCACTGCGCTGAACTGACACACTCAAGCCCCGAGCCTTCGCACCGAGAAGGATAAGAGGTAGCATGACTAGACAGGCGCCTAAATCGCGAGCCATGTGCCAAACCCCCCAATCTTCCGAAAGCCAAAGTCCTGAAGCGACAACCTCGAGCCTGGATGCCGGAGCTATGAAGCCTGAAGTCTTATGACATTTTATGCCTGAATCCCTGGGGGTAGCAGCAAAGATCCTGAAGAATTAACCTTGGGCCCTGACGCCGCGCTTGTTCCGACAAACACCTGGTGTAACATCGGGCTCCTTATGAGTATGGTATTCTATGCTCCAAAACCTTGTTCTGATTCTTAAGGCTCTGAGTATATAGTCTACCTTGCTCCAAAACGATATTAAGGCGCCCACGATCAGGTTGCACCTTCAAAGGGTATCGACAGTCGCAGAGAGGCATCTAGAAGCTTTCAAGGCGTCGTGGCTGGTGCTTCGAGTTCTGGGTTAAGGGCCTTTCAGGATTTAGGGCCTTTCAGGGTTTTATTGGGCCTTACTTGGGCTTCGCTGCGGGTTTTGCATCAGGGCTTTCTGAGCTTTAAGGCTACTTGAAGGTGACCGTAAGTACACCCCAACCCATGGCCCGGAAGATGCCAGAACTGTTTTGGGGTATCCGGTTCCGCGCTTCGTCTGCGGTGCTTCATCGGGCATACTTATCGGGTTGTAAAGCGTAATTGAACACTACTTATAGAGGCCCAGGGGACTTAGCAAGTGCGTTATAAGTAGGGCTATAATTGGGGTAACTCCATTTAGGGTACTTATAACCCTACTTATAACCTACTTACAAATCCTGGAGTCAGCCTAAGCCTTGCTGTGAGCTTGTGCAGGTTTTGGCTTGTATGATTATGGGGGAATGGTGATGGTTCCAGGCGTCAAACGTGATGTCCTTTTGGATATGGGGGGTCTGGTATGCGCGCTGAAAATGTTTTAGGGTTTAGGGGTGTAGGAGACTGGAGTAATTCGCTTACAGTTAAAGGTTCATGGTTGTGTACTTCGGCCTGGGGGTTCTCTTATGCAGTGCAGCTTTATGGTGGCATCGATCGAAGCTGAAGCTGAGCCACATTTTTCCCAACCGTGTCTGCTGGCCCAAACCGCAGGACCCTGGAAGCTTCATTATTGGAACCAAAACTGTGCACCCTTAAACCTAAAACCTAACCCCCCATCCCGTAAATCCTCTGAATCCCTAACCCGTTCAAGCTCTCAATGCCTGAACACCCCGAAAGCTTCAAAGCAGTAAAACCACTCAACTCCCAACCCCTTCAAGCCTTTTTCCGAAACCCTAAACCCCAAACCCCAAACCCTAAACTCTAAACCCCAAACCCTAAACCCTAAACCCCAAACCCTAAACCCTAAACCCTAGCTGTCCTTGCCAGTCCGCGTCAGCTCCTGAGCGCAGCGAAGCAGCGGCACGGCTACGCCAAGCCGCTTCTTGCCTGGCAGGAGAGAGCTAGTTTGTTTCAAGGGTTTCAGGGTTTAGGATTTAGAGGTTTCATTCAGACTTATGAGTATGTTTGTATTGTTTTATAGGATTGCTGCAGTGGTGCATGGGATTTCAGAAAGTCTTGCACTGCTTTGAATTATATAGGGTTATCGGCTTTGGGCCCTGGGCTGGATGGAGGGCCTTGGAGGTTTCGGCTTGGCTGAGGTTTAGACGCAAGGGATAAACTTTAAAGTTTCGGTTTCTGGGGTTGAGCTTTACATTTTGCAGATTAAAGTTCGGGGCTTGTGGGTCTAGTGTCCAGCTCTGGGGCTACATATCGCAACACCAGTGGTTTAGGGTTTGGGCCTTGGGTTGGGGGCGATCTAATATAGAGGCCTGAATAATTACCTACACTAGTTTGGGGGTTCCTTCTTATCATGATAGTATGATGGGCTCCAAAACCCTATTCTAATTATTGAGGCCCCCATAGTATAGTACCCTCAAAGCCCTTGTAGAAACCCTTATAGACCCCTTTAAAGGGAACCCTATTCTACTTATTAAGGCCCCTATACCATGCTCTTGAGTCTTCGACAGTACATTCAAGATCGGCTCGAGGCATCTCCGGAGTCAGAAGCCCCAATTCAAGAACATGTTTAGGGTTTAGGGCTTAAGGGTTTAGGGCTTAAGGGTTTAGGGCTTAAGGGTTTAGGGCTTAAGGGTTTAGGGCCTAAGGGTTTAGGGCTTAAGGGTTCAGGGCTTAAGGGTTTAGGGCTTAAGGGTTTAGGGCTTGAGGGTTTAGGGCTTAAGGGGTTTAGGGCTTAAGGGTTCAGTGCTCAGGAGCCTTGAATTTGGAGGGATGGGCCGTTTGGCGACCCTCAGAATCGAAGGGATTCGAATTCCGAGAACTTCCCTCCCCATGTCCTCATGCCAGTGCCCAGCTTTCAAGAAACACGCGTTGCATCTTGACCACTGCCTCCGAAAGAACATGCCTGGTCATGGAAGTCCATGTCACGGATGCTCCGCCAAGCCTGAATCAGATCTTGCATGTGGGTGGTCTTCAACATTAGGGTCCCTTTTTTGGGTACCTTAAGTATTAGGTGCCGTATTACATTAAGGACCCAAAAAGGGACCATCATTTTGACAACCACCCATTTGCAGCTTGCTTCTTGCACCCTTGAAGCTCGAACCTTGAACTCTACCCCAAGCACCGAGCAATGAAAGCACAGGTTAGCGCTGACTCGCAGCCAAAGCCTCAGATCAGGAGGTTCATGTCGGTGATTTAAGGAGTCGGTGGGGCGTTTAGGGTTTAGGGGGTAGCGTGGAGGGCTTTCGGGTTTGGGACGACCAGTTGGGAAAAGCGCATACAAGTAGGACACTTGTAAGGACAGTCATAACACCCCTCTCCCAATTTCAAAGCCCCATGATCCTTCAAATCCTTCAAACAAGGGTTTCACGGGCCTTAGCAACAAGAGTAGGGTTTTGGGGTACTTCATATCAAGGAGATTGGCATTTCTGCTGAACCTTTGTATTTTGCATGCTGCAGCCTGCTCCTGAAACATCTTCCATGCAGTTGAGCTCGGAGGCTTTTGGTGCTTTTGGGTTTAGATCGTCTTTCCGGAAGTCCGGAAGCCGTCAGCAAGAAACTCGTCACGTTCCAGAGAGGGCCCTAGGCAAAAAGGCTCCGTGCGGGTGGTTCGGAGCTTCAGGCTGAGAAGGGTTTAGGGTTTTGGCATCCTCACGAAGGATAGCGGAGGCCGTCATCGAGCAAAACGGCTTGCAACCCGTGCGGCACCGAGAGAGCTTCTCCGCTTTGGTTCTAGGGTTTAGGGTTTAGGGCCTAGGGGTCGGAAAACTTTTCCCTGTAAAGATGTGATATATCTCTCCCACAAAACCCTCTGCTTTCCTGTCTGATATCGCATATGGGGGCGCGAAGTTTAAAAGGGGTATTGTTTTTTGGGGGGTGATTTTTCACGAGTGGGCCCGGGGTAACAAGGAGACAGCGAGAGACAAACAACAAAAGAACGAACGAACTAACTAAAACAGAAAGAAGGAGAGAACGACATAGCGAAAGAACGAACGAGCGAAATCAAGAACGAAAGGATGGAAGAGAGCACACACTAACGAGAGAGCAAACTACAACGGAAAGAAAGCAAAAACAATTAACCAACTAACCAGACCTGAACTCTAAATCGACCCCTAAACCCCAAACCCTGAACTATAAACCCTCTAAGCCCAAGCCCTATGCCCAACACCCCAAACCCTAAACCCTAAACACCCGGAAAACGTGAGCCTGCCAGGCCACAAGCAAAGCCAAATCGCAAAGCAGTCGACGCAAAGTTCCCGAACAAAAGACTCCACCGTAGCTTTATGGTTTGGGGTTTGGCTGCCTGAAGCCTCGACCCCAAAACCCCAGGGCCGATATACCCCACCTAACCCTCGGCCCTAAGTCCTGCACCCTACTTAAAGGATCATGGGACTTAGTAACTAGGGTTATAATTAAGGTAACTGTACTTATAATTACTTATAACCCCAATTAAAGTACTCATAACCCTACTTACTAAGTCCCATGATCCTCCAAGTAACTCCCTTTTCGTCGTCGTTCCTCGCTTCTCGAGAAGTCTTTTCCCATTAATTCGGACTCAGGTTTCCTCGGGTTTAGGCGTGATGAGGGTTTGGGGTTCAGAGCTTCGGATTATCTGAATCCACCTGAACTCCCACAAAACCCGAAGCTGAACCCTAAACCCTAAACCCTAAACCCTAAACCCTAAACCCTAAACCCTAAACCCTAAACCCTAAACCCCTAAACCTTAAACCCTAAAGCTGTTGACCCTCAACCCACAGTTCAACCGGCTCAAGCTGAGAATGTTGGAGGACTCGTCGGCTTACACCCAAAGACCGGGCCTTGGCAAGCTAAGCTCTAAACCTCTAGTTCACAATGCCGAAGCGTCCTGAAATCCCCGACTCCTTTACAGGGCTTGGGGATAAGGATCACTGCAGGGCTTCTTTTGGTTTGTAGGACCAGGCCCTTAGCTGACACCCGCCCTCCAACCCTAAGCTGTGAACCCCAAACCGCCAAAGCTCAAACCCTAACCCCCAATAAACCCTGAACCCTACTTAAAGGATCATGGGACTTAGTAACTAGGGTTACAATTAAGGTAACTGTACTTATAATTACTTATAGCCCCAATTAAGGTACTTATAACCCTACTTACTAGGTCCCATGATCCTCCAAGTAGACCCTCAACCCTACTTTTATTGCGAGGCCCTGGCACTGGCAATCGACACAAAGTGCCGAGACGCTGTCACCTTGGAGCCACCCTCAGAGTTTCCTTCTGTATGGCAGAGGGCTTTTAGGGTTCAGGGTCTGTTAGGGTTTAGGATTTTTAAGGATTTGGGGTCCAGGTTTTTGGGGTTAAGGCTTTGAGTCCGGGATGCAGAGGAGGTGGCGGTCTCGGGATCGGTTGGGTTGTTGAATCTAGGATTTTCCGAAAATAGGGGACCCTAATATAGTACCCTAAATAGTAGGATCCTTATTATAAGGACCCCAGAATAAGGTACTCCTATTTTGGGAAACTCCCATCTAGTCTAATGCTTTCGGGATGGACCGTTTGTGGGTGGATTGCTTGCCATACGGGGGAGGTGCTGCTTGAAGCATGTGGAGGGTTTATGGTTTGGGATGTGAGTTTACTGTATATGGGCATTAGGTTAGGCGTTGGGTTTGCTCATGAAGCGTTTGAACTTAGGCTTTGGCTTTGCCCCAGCTGCGTAGCCAGGTACTTACAGTGCCACTGGAAGCTCTAAACCCGAAGCTCAGCACGAACATCAGAGACAGTCAAGTTTTTTGTCAAGATTTTGAGGTGGAAGAAGGCAAAGGTTGATAGTTGATATGGGGGCTTGAATAACTCGTAGAATTATTGCTTAGAGTTCCTTTCGATATTCATATGTTTATACCCCCAAGACCTATTGAGATCCTACATTTGCCAAAGTTCCTCAGGCGTTGCTGTGCGAGCTGTTCCAGCACTACACCTCTGACGCATTGACAGACTGGCTGGAGGAGTTCCATGCCGGCGGCTTACGACTTGGTGCAGCCATGAGTGGCCTAAGCCCGAAACCGGCTTAAACCCCTAAACCCTAACCCCCTAAACCCTAACCCCCTAAACCCTTAAACCCTCGACCCTAAATCCCTGAACCCTACACCCTGAACCCTAAACCGATGGTGTTCGCTCTTTCTGCTCGGGTAGTCTCATGGGCACATGATGCACAGCAGTGGGAGCAATTCAGCGAGACGCCCGAAACAATTTTCCCTTAGGGAAAAAAGCCTCAACCTGACCGAAGATCCCTCGGCAGATGCCGAACTCGCTACTGAGGAGCAAACAAGCAGAGTAGCAGTAGTAGCAGCTTCCGGTGATCAGTAATCGTAGCAACATCATGCATGGCGACATCGCCAATGTCCCCAAAAGCGGCAACAGCAAAAAGACTCGCACTGTGAGCATGGTGGACATCAAGCAGAAGGGTGGTAAGCATGGCGACAGTGGTCTTTGTCATCGTCGTACTAGAAGGAGCAGCAGCAGCAGTAGCAGCGCATTAGCTGTAGCCGCAACAGTTGCAGTGTAGTTGCCGTCGCAGCGTAGTTGCAGTCGTAGTCGCAGTAGTAGTAATAGTAGTAGTAGTAGTAGTAGTAGTCGTAGTCGTAGTCGTAGTCGTAGTCGTAGTAGTAGTAGTAGTAGTAGTAGTAGTAGTAGTAGTAGTAGCAGCAGCAGTAGTGGTAGTAGTGGTAGTCGTCGTCGTAGCAGCAGCCGTAGCACCAGCAACAGTAAGTAGTCGTCGTCTTCGTAGCTCTAAGGACATCAAGGAGCTCCGTTCGGACCTCTTCGATGCGCTGCTGGCCGGCTGTCCCCAGCGACACGCTGCCCAACAAACCATACAGATATGTACACAAACAAACGAAAAGTAAGATAAGTAAGTAAATACAGGTATATACACATTCGTATACATATATATATATATATATATACGCACATGTATACTTAGTATGCACATGTTTGTATATGGAACATACACACGCACATATGTACATATGTACATATATATATATATACACATGTGCATATGTGCTTCCATACATACATACATACATACATACATAAATGCATACGGGGATACTTACATACTTACATATGTGCATACTTACATACATGCATACATACATACTTACATACTTGCATACTTACATATGTGCATGCTTACATGTTAAAACCCATCCATCGATCCATCCATCCTTCCATCCATCCATCCATCCATCCATGCATAATCCCAACCACTCAGCCATTCATCCTTGCATGCATGCACGTATGCATGCGTGCGTACATTCATTCCGTCACACATGCGCATGCTCATACACACATACGACCAGCGGGATGGATGCTTGTTTGAGTCTCAGGAACCTTATACATAAGAGGGTTTAAAGGTTAGGGTTCAATTCTATGGCTATGGAGCGGTTTGAGGTTGAGGTTAGTGGCGTATGCATTTTTTTGTTTTTTTGGGTGAAGGGTCCATCCGCAACGGCAAGACGGATACCACGCTGTAGATTCGCGCTTGTAGGACACTGTGCACGTGGCGCTTCCCGAATCCTGCCTTCCCTCGAAACTGCCCATGATGCCAGACCCTCAACCCTAAACCTTTCAATCGGATGGGTTGATGTTAACGAAGCAAGGTGTCGCTGTTCTTGCTGGAGGAGGCACCATGCCTGCAGCTGTTCATGGTTGTGTGCTCCTTGAGTGTTTTCAATTTCATCTCCGAAATCTCGCCACAAACCTGGCCAGCCGCAACTAAGCCAGCCTGCAGCCATGGCTACCCGACACGCGGTGGGATGGGTAGTGAACTGTGGGAAGCATGTAGCTCTACACCCTCAAGCAAAGAGGCCCAGGAGAGAGTATTCCAGGGGCTTGAATACTTGCTAGTGCTATGCTTAGGTTTCCTTGTTATAACTATAATAGAAGAATAAACCACAACTGCAGGATTCACTTTTTAGGGTCCCTATAGTACGGACCTACCCCCTGGATGCCAAACCTTGCGAAAGCGAGTCTTACAGGCGAGCTCTGACCAGTCGTTTGGACGTTCATGCAGGGGCCTTGATAATGAGAAACACTGTACTGTACATATAATCAGGAGTTGTAAGGAATTGATCGCTCAGGTTTCTGTAGCTCAAACATGAATTTGATCGAGATGCTTGGTGTGAATATTCGTGTGTAACTGTTGGTCTTTGCTTGTTTGACAGTGCGGACGATTAGAATGTGCTTATGCAGGCAGAGGCGATGAGACCCAAACATCCTTTTCAAACCCGCTGCAAGTTCTTGTGAAATGGTATGAGATATCTGGAAATCTTGTTCTGATATTTTAGGCCCCTTCCTGACTGGTTTCGGTTGTCACAGCTATGCACAAAGACATGTGTGTTTTGTGTGTACATGTGTATGTCTGTATGTCTGTATATATACATGTGTGTATATATATATATATATATATATTTGTATATATATATATATATATGTATATGTATGCAAGGACAGCAGCTGCACAATGGACATACGCCTACATTCAATGGCCCACGAAGCCGAACAAATCTGAGGTTGGTTATTCAAACCGTTATCGACATTTGCTTGCGCAAACAAATGGCGCATTCTTCCGGTTGTCTAGGCTTGCATCACTTCATTTTCGAACATTTCGACTGCATTATGCTTACGACTGCTTGAGAGTGTACTTTAAAAAGTTCTACGCCCTACAAGTTCATAAGGCTCCGACAGCAACGACAAGTCCAAGAGAGGGGTCTGAATACTTAGCAACAGCACCCCCTTACAGTCCTTATATGACTATACTTTAATGTGCCTCAAAATCTTATTCAACTTGTTAAGGCCCGTATAGTAGCTACCGGTGCAGGAGTCTGGCACGGCGTGCAGCCAACGTGTTTTTCAGTACGCAGGGTTTGGGAGTTTTGTTGCACAGGGTTTGGTTAGGGGTTCATCGTTTAGGTTTAGAGTTTAGGGTTCAGGCATAGAGTCTAACACTGGAGATTGTATAGGCTCAGCGTCACTTCTGACCTGCAACTTCGGGCTTGAGCAAGCTTCTGGTTAAACGCTGCCATTTATATATGTATATACATATACACACATATATATATATATATACATACGTTTCACAGTTTCACCTAGTATCATGACAAGGAAGTCGTAGGAGCAGTAGTAATGATGATGATAGTTAGGATCATAGCAAGACTGATGAGAATTTTGGTATTGGTATTTATGGTGCTCGTGTCAATGAGAGTAGTATTTTTGCATGGCACCGGCAATTATAACGATATTAAGCTTGGTCTTGATAATATGAGCATTAAATGCTAGCACGACTAAGCCTGAGATTAACACCACCATGAACAACAAGAACAACAACAACAACCGCAAGAACAGTGATAACCGTGATTCTAATACTAGTAACCGTCGTACTTATGACGGTGCAAACAAACATGGTAGGAACAGCATCAACAATAATAATGACAACGGTAGCAACACTAACAGCAGTCATCATCATCGTCATCAAACCATCATCTCATCGTATCATCATGACTGTCATCATAACTGTCATCATAATCAGCACCATCATCATCAACAACACCCTTACCATCACACCATCACCATCATGATGATGATCATCATCACGCACCTTGTATTTGCACAACATCCTCTCCCTAAGCCAGGCCGTGTTCCACACAAAAGTCCTGTCGGCACCTAAGCTTCCCCCTGCAGCTGAAGCGCTCAACCGGCTTCTCGTTAAGGAACTTTGTGTAAGATGCCACGAACAGGGATCCATGAGGTTCATTACGGAGGCTTGAACCGCAGCTTAATTATCGAGGCCTCAAGGTGGTTGTGTGGTTTGTTTTCAGACTTTGGGGTGCAGGAAGCATGTGTGCCAGAATTTAGGTCCACGGATTCTTGAGAAGCAACCTGGTTTAAAACACCATGGCAAGAGCAAAGGGTGTAAAGGTGGTGAGCAACGTACTCCTTTTCAACTCAGATACCGTAATGAGGAAGGTGCATTGTTTACAATATATCGTGTCTGCCAGCTAAGGTATACATAATTTGCTAAACCCACCGCCGTAAGCTCCTTAACCCCCGACCTCGAAACCCCCCAATCCCTACAGAACATCCTTACAAGCTCGAAAGCCCGAAACCCCAAAGTCTGAAGCAAGAGCGCCCGGAAGATCCTTGGAGTCCCTCCACGCCCTAAAGCCCAGACCCCCATACTCTCTAAACCTTACACTACTTCATCCGTCAGCTCCCTAGGCACCAACAAGCCTGAAATCTGAAGCCTTGAAGCCCCAAAACACTAGTCCTGCTGGGTCTCCAGCTTCAAACAACCCCAAGTCTTACACCCTACACCCAACGGTTCGGAGCGGTCCTCAGCGCTTCTTTCAACACCTGGGTGTCAAGCCAATTCATCCCCGAAACCTTAGTACTACACTCAGGACCCCAACTTAAAACTCTACAGCCACTAGGCCCTCAACCCGAAAGCCTAAAGCCTAAACTTGCCCTAAGGTGCTCAAAAAATGACTTGCCCTAAATCCCAATTCTAAAGCAAGGTACGAACACCAGAGGCCCCTGGGCCCTACACCCTGAAGGCCCGCAACCCCTAAACGCTCCAAGCCCCAAGAGCCTCAAGCCCGAAAGACTGAAACTTTTCAGCCCCAGCAAAGTCCCAAGTCCGGCATAGAAGATCAGGCGACTTAGTAAGCAAGGTGAGGAGTACGCGAACTGGGATCACGAGTACGCAGAAAGCTGATACACCTTATCAGCATTATCCTTCAAGAAGAGCCCTCGAGCCTTGCACTTTTCAATCCTGAGGCCCCAAATCCCTCTAAACAAAAACCCCTAAGCCCCAAACCCAAACCGCCTAAACCCCTAGACATTTAACCTTAAGCCCTAAACCCTGGGACCCTAAACCCCGAACTCACCAAGGCCCCTTCTTCCTTCGCGCAGGTCTCGGCCTTGTCCTCTTTCTCTTACAAGAACTCGAATCCGGGGCCAAGGTCGTCCACGAGGCCGGGGAAGTCGGACTTAGGCTTTTGGGGTTCTATTTGGGGTTAGTTTTGAGGGTTTGGGGTTTAGGGGTTCCAGTGATTGAAGGGCTCAATATAAGTCGGGGTTGGGGTTTCCGGTTTAGGGTTCTATTTAGGGGTTCTTGAAGGGCTCTGTGTGGGTTTCTGGTTTGTTTCAGACTCTGTGAGGTCCGGGTTCTTTTAAAGAAGTACCAGTTTTATCCCTGAGGGTTCCTCCTTATATCTATACTATGGTACTTGTTCTAGTTTTTTTAGGGTTCCATGTTGCCTTTTATTTATGGTTCTTGTACTGATGATCGTAGCACTTATGGTCTGTCTTTGGGGGTGCCGCGCTTTCGGGAGCTTTTTGGCTATTCGGGTTTTGAGCTCAAGTAGGTTTGTAGGCCTTAGTTCGTTGTTGACAATTTGATTGGCGTGTCGGCTGTAGGTTTTTTGCTTGAGGAGTTTTGGGTTTATAGTTTGGGTTTGTAGATTTGAGGGTTTTCGGGTTTAGAATTTCGAGATCAGGGCTTGGGCGTTTGGGTTTGTGGATCTACGGTCTGGGATTTTGGAGGGTGCATGGGTTGCTGGGGTCGTGTAGTAAGGGCCTTCAGGGTACGGGCTATTTGGGGTCTTCACCAAATCCTAAACCCTAAAACCCTAAACCCTAAACGCCAAACCCTAAAACCCTAAACCCTAAACCCAAAAGACCCGTTAACCCCTAGCCTGCATGTCGTCAGCTTCGGGAGAGGTGCTGCAGCGAAGTCGGCCGGACAAGGAGCTCGCCTGCCCAGGGGCTGGAGAGTTCTTAGGGGCACTTAGAAATAGGTTTTAATTTTTGGTTATTATAACCCCTAAGAAACAGCCAAAATTGTTAATTTTGGCTAGGGTTCTAAGTCCAGTATAGGTTGCGAGAGTTTGTCCAGGCCGGTTTGCAGTCTTGGGTGGTTGTCAAAACTAGGGTCCCTTTTTGGGTACCCTAAAAAATAGGTGCCGTATTATAGTAGGGGCCCAAAAAGGGACCCTAATTTTGACGAACACCCACATCGAGGACCGTTCAGCAGAAGAATCTGTGATTTCAGAGAAGTCCGCCGGACTGAAGGCTTGGTGTGCAGGGGTGTAGGTGCAAGGTGCTGAAGCCCCCAAGCCGGGAACAGCCTCATCCCCAAATTGCCTTGAAATTTGAGTTTCCTCAAATGCCCTGAGCCCAGAGGCACAACCCGCCCCAAACGTGAAGTTCTACACCCCAACTACCACGAGCTGGACACGGCATGTCGTTTACGGCAGTACTGGGCTCGGCACAGCAGGCATGGCAGTATGTGGAACTGTTTTGACCTTGGTGAGTAGAGCCCGTCGCGTTGCACAGTCGTGGCCCGTGTAAGTCTACGCATATTTTCTTGCCCTCACAGTGGGAACGGTATAGTTGAATGAAGTACTGAGGATTTTCCTGCCAACGTGCAAGATAGCTCCACATACTCACCACAGGATGGTGGATGGAGTTTGCATAGGGCCGCCCCAAAAACCCTAAACCCCAAAAACCCCAACAAACCCAAGCTCGCAACCCTAAACCCTAAACCGGCTGGGTCTAGGGTTGAGGGGAAATCTCAGCAGGATGAGAACCTCTACACGATCCTCGTCTCTTGCATTGGTAGCGAGGAGGATGAAGACTGCGACGAGTTTCAGGCGCAAGAAGCTAGGCCCTAAACTCCCAAACCCGAGAACCAACGGCCGTGTTTAGGGACAATGGTTTCGGTCTAGCCCCAAACCCGAAAACACTGATTATATGTTTGGGGGTTCCATTGTACTATATCCCAAAGCTGTATTCCAATTGCCAAAACTTCTACATTCGAACCAAGAGTTTGGAGCCTCCTGCCAGGATGCGATTCACGGCAGGAAAGTCATCGATAAGTTTGCAGGTTTTGGTCTAGGTTGTCGTCCGTCGAGCCTAAAACACGTCGCAGATGGGTGTCATAAACTTCTTAAACCCTAAACCTTGAAACCCTAAATTCCAAAACCCTAAACTGCTACTCCTAAACCCAGTACAGGCACGTGCGGCGCAGCTTGTCGTCCGGTCCCTGCTCGCCGCCGCGAAGGCTCTGCTGACAGTGCTTAAGGGTGAGGCTTCGGGGGAAGGCGGGCTTTCGTGCTTTGGGGTTGTAGGTTGCAGGTTTAGGGTTTAGGGTTTGGGGTTTAGGGTTGTAGGGTTGCAGGTTTAGCTGTTGGTCAGGGTTGAGCGCTAACAGTCCTTTACATGGGGCTCGGGGTTTAACTTTGGGGTTAGGGTCTAGCATACAAGGTTCTGTTTTCGGGTCTTTTTACCCCAACCCCTAAACCTCAAGCCCTGAACCCCAGTCATAAGTTGCAGGATAACCTCAAGCCCTGAACCCCAGTCATAAGTTGCAGGATAAGAAGGTTTTGGGTGTAAGGTTCAGGGATTAAGCTCTTCAAGCTAGACACCCTAAGCCCCCGAGCCCTCAGCTTTAAGGCTGGTAGCCCACCCTAACCCAAAGCCCAGCACCACCCTCAGATGCAGGACAAGAAGCTGCAAGAGCAGATCGTCGTGGCTCTCGAAGGCTAGGCTTGGTCGGTCTTTTTCGGTCATCTGGGCCCTGGTTAGTAAGGGGGATTGTGCAACGCCTTTACAAGGTTCCTTGAGGGGATGCTATAGGCCGTTAGTATAGGGCCCTTCATTCATAGTTTTGTTTAAAAGTTTCTTAGGGCTGATATCTACTCTGATATTCCATGAACCCCAGAGCCGGAAACCCGGCAACCCCTTAAACCCTTATTTATGCAACCTAGAACCTTCTTCTAACCTTGAACCCTAAACTCTTTAAGCCTATAGCCTGAAACCCTAAACCCTAATATAAACCTACACCCTAAACCCTCTCACCTATAACCCTGAACCCTAAACCACAGACGCAGCCAGGCGCGAACAGCGACATCCAGGCGGGGCCGGCGCCGGCGGTGATCACAGCGACTCTCTCTGATCAAACCTTACTATTGATATTGGAGGAGCTAAGGAGCCAGGGATGATGATAATCCCTATTAAATAAGGAGCTAAAGAGCCAAGGGACCCCCCAAAACCACTGGCTAGAAACGGTTTAGGGGATAGGGTGCCCTCGTTGTGTGACCTGCGCGCCCCCACAGGTTTGCTCCGGATGTTTATGGCCCGATACAGTCCACTTAAGAGTGCACACAATCCTTCAGCCCACAAGTCCCCCTGAGCCCCCAAACCCTAAACCCTAAACCCTAAACCGAAGCCTTGAACCCTTTTGACGTCAGTTCAGAGCAGCCTCCGAACCCGAAGATGTCCACTGCAGGCGCGAGGGCTGCAGCTCAGCCAGAGCCTCAGTTTAGGATTCAGGGTTTAGGGTTTAGGGTTTTGGGGTTTCGGAGGCCCTCTGGCCCTAGGGCTTAGGCGGTTAGGAGCCGAGGTTTCTTGCGGAGTGGATCGTTGAGTTTGAAAGGGTTTGCGAATTTGGGGTTTAGGGTTCTTCAAGCAGCTGGGCCAGGCGATTTCCTTCTGGTCTCTACACAACATATGGGTAGTTGTCAAAATCAGGGTCCCTTTTTGGGCACCCTAAATAATAGGTGCCGTAGCACAATAGGGACCCCAAAAGAGACCATAATTCTGACAACCACTGATATAGTTGTACTACGCCCTTAACCCAAACCCCTAACCTCTAAGCCCTACACCCCCCCAAAGCTTCAAGCCTCAAGCCTGCACCCTAAACCCCAAAGCCGAAATCCTAAACCACAAAGCCGAAAGCCCAAAACCCAAACCCTAAATCCTAAACCCCTAAACCCTAAACCCTAAACCCCTAACCCCTAAACCCTAAACCCTAAACCCCTAAACCCTAAACCCCTAAACCCTAAACCCCTAAACCCCTAAACCCTAAACTCTGAGGTTCGGACTTGAAGGCTTCCTTCGACAATCTGCTGGTGGCCTACTTGGGGGCCTGCCGCCGGCTCAGCTGCTTAGGGCCTCTTGGATGTGCTTTAGGATTTAGGGCAGTTTTGGGAACCCGGGCTTTGGAGGTATGTGGGGGTTTCCAAAAATGGGGGACCCAAATGTAGTACCCTAAATAATAGGGGTTTAGGGTTTAGGGTTTAGGGTTTAGGGGTTTAGGGTTTATTATAAGGACCCCAAATAAGGTAGTCCTCATTTTCGGAAACTCCCATGGTTTTTCTTGGAGCTTGAGGGTTCAAGTGCTGACAGGGCTCCAGAAGGGTTTAGGGTTCCAGTTGAATGCAAGGGTTTATGATTAAGGTTTGGGTTTGCCTTGATTTGAGGGTTCAGGGGTTTTTGGTGTCGTTCGCCTCTAATATCGTTAACCTTATCATGTGCTGGTGTTTTTGCAACCGTCGTGTTTGTATGGCGCTTAAGATGTAACGTGTTGTTCTTGTGATCCTTGACTTCCCACGTCTTCTTGTCGTGTCTCCCATTATTGCTCGCATACTGCATTGAGATTCCTCACGCGTGTACTGTGAGAGTCGTGGGAGCCTGTATTCAGAGTCGTGCTAGTCTGTATCTAGTTTTCGGTCTGGTAGAGTGTAGTGCTTCAAGGGTCGAGGGCTTTGGAACTTTGGGCATGCTTTTTGTTCGAGGGTTTTATGGTGTCCCAGAAATGTTTCAAGAGGGTTTTATGGATTTCATGGGGGCTTCAGGATCTTTCCAGAAGCCTAAAGCCTGAACCCTTACTCCAAAGTAGGCTCTTTTTTTGGATGCTGGCGAGCCTCACAGCATGGTCCGGTGGGAGGTTGGTCAGTTGCGTCAGAAGCACTCAGCTTATGACACCTGACCGATAAGGTTCCTAGACTTTCCAAGTTGACCCGTAAGCCCCACGCCCGAAACACTCAAAGCACGACCAAAAGCTACGGCACCCAAAGCACCCAAATTGCAAGATGAGGCTGGGTGTTTGGGGCTTGGGATAAAGGGTTCTTGGGTTTGCGGTTTAGGGTTTGATGTTCGTGCCTCCGCCCTTCAGGGGGTGCTAAACCCGAAGAGCTACATCTCTTTGTTCCTGAGGCTATGTTACCCCTAAGCCCCTCAACGCTAAACTCCTAAACCCTAAACCTAAGCCTAGATTACCTAACTGTTGTTATTGGAGGAGCTAAGGAGCCAGGGATGTTGATAACCCTTGTTAAATACGGAGCTAAAGAGCCAAGGGAACCCCCAAAACCACTGGTTGGTTAAGTTAAACCCTATACCCCAAACCCGTAAGATCCTCAAAACCTGAATCTCAAAGTCCAAATTTCCACACCCTAAGTTTTTACACCCCTAGATCCTTAAACCTTTAAATCCATAAAACCACCCTTAGCCCTAAACCCTCGAATGCTACAGTATAGGCCAGAAAGTTGGAACATCATTGTCCTCTTGTCCCCAAGGTAATGTAGATTGAATCCCAGCATTAATCATCCTAAAGCCATGTTCCAACTTTCTGGGATTCACCGTACCCCCAAACCCTAAACTGGAACCTCCTATCCTAAATCAGTGTAACTTGGGTAAACCCTAAACCCTAAACCGAAACTAAGTTGAGGGCAAAATGCCAGCGCTGCTTTGGAGAAAGGGTGCACATCAACTTAAAAAACCATATCCTAAATCACTGTATTGCTGGGTGTGTTGCCGAGGCACGGAAGTCGCCTCCTCCTCACTGGCGGGCGCCGGCCGCGGACCGGAGAAGATCTCGAAGTTAGAGAGCGACTGGCCTTGAACGATCTTGGGTGGAGATTTTTTAGGGGTGTTAGAGGCATTGGGGCTTTGGGGAAGTTCAGGGAGTTTCGAGTTTTGGGGTGAAGGCTTGGGGCTTTCGTTCTTCGGTTTACGTAGTTCTGTGGCGTGGACGGTTCAGGGCTCAGGGCTCCGTACTCCTCTGCCGCTTCAATCCCAACATTTATACTTCGGGGTCCTTAGAAATAATTTTTAATTTTTGGTTATTATAATCCCTAAGAAACAGCTAAGATTATAATTTTTGCTAGGGTTCTAAGTTCAGTATAGTATAGCAGTATAGCAGACACCAAAGCCAGCATTGCTTCCAGTTTTTCGGGCTGACTTGGAGATTAGAGGTACCAGCTGAGTGAAGGTTTTGCATCAAATCCAGAATGCAGAAACACTTTGCATGTCCCTTGTCTGGCCTAAGAGGATCTTACCTACGAGTAGCTTTTACAGGCCTCAAGGGCACCTACAAAAGCTTCCTCTCGCAGGTGAGATCGAGCACCTTCAAAAGCTGAATGCTCAATTGAAGGTGCGCTCGAGACAGCCTTTGTTTGGAGCTCCCTAAACCTCAAACCCTAAAGCATAAACCCGAAAGCCTAAAACCTAATCCACAGGCCCGAACGCCGAAAGCCTAAACGCTCAACGCTTAATTGACCCTAAGCTCTTCAGCTTCAGCAGAAGGTTTTGAAGGTTGAGGTTCGAAGACATCGCAGAGCTCTGGAGCTTTAGGTTAGTCAGGCGTGTCGGAGGGATTAGGGCCTTCTACGATTAGGCCATCCTGTGTACGGGAACCCTTCCTGCGAAATGAATGCCGGGAGAGAGAGGCAGAGAGAGAGATCAGAGAGAGAGAGAGAGAGAGCGAGAGAGAGCGAGAGAGACAGAGAGAAAGAACCCCCAAACACTAAACCCTTAAGAACCTGAATCCAAACGCCGAAGCCGAAAGGCAGACTCCCTAGAGCAGGATCAGCTCCGCCGACAGCATGCCGCGATGTATCGACACTTTGCTGCGACAGAAAGAGCTGGGCTTAACACCCTAGCACCCTAACGCCGGAACACCCAAACACCCTGACGCCCTAACAAGCTAACACCCTAAACCCTAGCACCCTAGCACCAAGAAGCCCTAGACCCTAACACCCTCACACCCTGGGTACCAGTTATGACGTCTCTACTTCATATAAGGGTCGGACTCACTGCGCCACACATGTGTCAGGGTCTACGGGATCCTGAAGTTCGATTCCAGAGTTTGTAGTTCCCTGAAGCCCTACCGCCTTGCAGCCCTAGACTCGAAGTCCCGAACGCTACCTGTAGTCTCCATTGTAGTTCCTTTGTTTGGGTTACTTTATAGGATCCCTAATATGTAATTGGTTAAACCAAAAAAAGGAACTACAATGGAGACTATAGGTATGCTTCAAGTCCCCTAAACCCTAGGGCAGAGGGTTTAGGGTCAGGCTCTATGGTTCAGGCTCGAAGCTCCCCCAAAGCCGGAGTTCTCATCACACATTCGAACCAGGGTTCCCTGATTAAAGTAAGTTCAAACGCCTAAACCCTTAAATCCTCAGCTCCTTGAACGCACAAACCCCCCAAAAACCCCAAAACCCTTGCAGGCAGCAAGATGGCTCTAGCTATTCTGAGGGAAACGGGAGTGAACCAACCTCGACTGCGCATGCCGGCGAAAGCGGGCAGTCCTTTTTACCTCTGGCACTCGATCCTCAAACAAGCTGCAACCACACACGTGCGTAGCCGCCACACAAGCTTCAAGCTTGCAACCCCGAAGCCTTGTATGGCATCTCAATGTACATACAGAGCCTTAAGCTCCGAAACCCCTAGACTCTCAGATCTGAACCCCTAAACCCTAAACCCTAAACCCTAAACCTAAAATAAAGCCTTAGACTCCGAACCCCCACGGCCTCCTGGCCTCAGGCATGGCGACCGACTTCGTTTGCATCGAGTGCGATGCGGTGGTCGTCGCCTGGTGGCGTTCTTTTGCCGGGCTTTTCTCGGTGCCAAACCGGCTCTGAGGGTCGGGCCTTCAGGGTTTGGGGTTTAGGGGTTTAGGGTTTAGGGTTTAGGGTTTAGGGGTTTGGGGTTTGGGGTTTGAGGGTTTAAGGGCCTAAGGGCTTTGGGGTTTGGGGCTTAGGGGTTTGGGGTCCAGGTTTCGGGTTTCTTCAGGATCTCTGGAATTTATAACGTAGGTGTTGTAAATGAGGTAACTACGGCTCTGTGCACCAGTGAAGGTACTTATAACCCCATTTGCGAAGTCCCGTGATGCCAAGCTTGGGGCTAGGGGTCCAAGAGCTGGGCAGTCAAAGAACCTCAAACCCTAAACCCTAAACCCTAAACCCCTAAACCCCTAAACCCTAAACCCTAAACCCTAAACCCCTAAACCCTAAACCCTAAACCCTAAACCCAAAGCCCAACAGCCTTGAGCCTTAAAACCTTAGACCCTCAGCGCAAGCTAACCCTGGGTGACTTTTATGCCCCGCTGAATGCCGGTGAACCCGAAGGCCTACAGCCTTCCTTCAATCAGAGTTGCAGACTTTTCCTAAGACCTTACCACAACAGCTTTGAAGCCTTTAAACCCTACGATCGTGAAGTCCTGGCTCTGAAAGCCTCAAAGCCCGAAAGCCCGCCAAAGCCACAGGGCCCTAAACCCTAAACCCTAGCACCCTAAACCCTAAACCCTCGGCCCCGAAACCCTAAACCCAAGGCCCCAAAACCTCAACCCTAGGAGCACGCTCTGGAGGGCATCATCCGCCACTTGGTTGCAGCTGCCGGGCTTCACGGCACAATGAGGGGAGCCGGGTTTCAGGGCTCACGGGTTTAGGGCTTTGGGGTTGGGAGGGTTGAGACTTGGGGTTTACGGTTTCGGCTTTAGGGCTGAGGCTTTAGGGTTTAAGGGGTTTTAGGGTTTGGGGTTTAGGAGGGTTTACGGCTCAGGGTTCGGGGGTGGGGGTTTCTTTGAGGCACTCGGACTTGGGCTGAATATTGGGGCCTTTACGGTATAGGAATTTAGGGCTTTTAGGTTTTACTCATTTTAGGGTTCGGAGCGTAATTCGAACTTTTTTGTTCTGGAATTTGAGGTGCAGCTATGTCGCTTAAGGTCCAAAGCCCGGGAGCTTGATTTATCCTTGCAAGCTCTAGGAAAAGGGACTTGAAGAATTCGTAGTGGCACTCCGTACGGCTCCCAACTATAGTTCAGCATACAAGGGTATAGGCCCGACCAAGACCTAGTTGAAGTATGGTCTGGTGGCTTCTAAACTACTTGTACCGTGACATCGCAAATCCCTAATCCGCACACTTGAAAGTCACGTTCTTGGTCGCGAAGGACACGGCCATGACAGCCTCAAGTGGAAGAAAGGCTGGGGGAGGATTTTCCATGTTGAGGGCTTTGGCAGGGGTTTGGGGTTTAAGGTGAGTGTGCATGCGTGCGTGCCTGGCTGCCTGGCTGCCTGGCTGCCTGGCTGCCTGGCTGCCTGGCTGCCTGGCTGGGTGGCTGGGTGGCTGGGTGGCTGGGTGGCTGGGTGGCTGGGTGGCTGGGTGGCTGGGTGGCTGGGTGGCTGGGTGGCTGGGTGGCTTGGTGGCTGGGTGGTGTGTGTGTGTGTGTGTGTGTGTCTGTGTATAAAAGAACAACGCCTGTACATGGCGAGCGAGTGAGCAGCTTACATGTCTACATGTGCAGGGGGTCCCCCCAGGTCGGTTACTCATGCTGGGACCATCGTTTGTGGTTCGCTTTGGTTTTGGGGCTACTGACTCCCAAAAGCAGTCAGACTTGCTGCAAAGAAATCGTTGCGAAGAGTATGCCAACTATGGCGCCAAACGGACTGGACCATAGCAAATCCTGGACCCAAGCTCGCAACCCCCAAACCCAAGACAAGCTCAATCAGGCGGGCCCCCATACCCTTACAGGCTACACGATGCTGCACTACTGTGCAGAGTGTGTGGAAGAGCCAGCAGCCGGATACTCGGTAAGGGAGTCGGCCCTTTTGGTGGTTCCAGGGCTGGGGCCTCGGGTTCATAGGGGGGTTATGGTTTGGGGTTTAGGGTTTAGGCTTGGCAAGCTCTTTCGCGCATGTATGAACACAACGATCTCGAAGCCTTGCAAAGCAGCTATATGAAGCCTTCTGTAAGCTTCCCGACGCACGGTGGTAAGGTAGCGTGCAGCTCTGCCATCCTAACTTGCCACCGCTTCTGTGAAGTAACCCTGCAAAACACAATCCTGCTTGAGTCACGGGCAAACTCCGCAAGAACTTGTTCCTAATTCTGACGCACAAAGCGCCGAACCCTTGGCCAGGAACCCCCCCGTCCCCTGCACTTTAACTCTAGCCCTTCAATCCCAAAAGCTAAGTCCTGAAAGCACTAGTTTAAAGACCCTTAATTAAACCCAATCGCTGACATCCTTAAACCAAAATCCCAAAATTCTGAAACACCCAAACTGTGAACCCCCTACCCCTAAAGATTTGTATAGCCGTAAACGTCAATCTCCCTTAAAGCGAAAGCCTGAATCCCTGGAGCCCTAAATCATCAATCCTAAGTCCTCTACCCTCTATGCCCCAAAAGCCTCGAATCCGATACTGCTGATGGACAAAATCCTGCATGACCCATTATAATACGGTTTAGGGTCTAGGGTTTAGGGTTTAGGGTTTAGGGTTAAGGAATACACCATAATTCCCATAGTTTAGAGTCCTTAGGGTCATGTAGGATTCTGTCCATCAACAGTACCAAACGAGGTGGTGGAGCTCATCGGCCTGCTAGCTCGGGACCCAGATTTGATCGTCTGATGTACTCTTCGCAAAAACGGAAGGCTGAAATAACCACGCACTGAGAGGTCTAGGATTGAGGGTTATGAAATCCCCTAAACCCTAAACCCTAAACCCTAAACCCTAAACCCTAATCCCTAAACAAAAACTCAAAGCAAATAAACACTAAACATGGTTTGCCCCCGGAACCCAGACCCGAAGCCTGAAACTATCCGGCCAAGCTCCAAAGTGGCTTTGTCTCCATGTTGTGTCTTTTGACTGCTTCTTCTTCTTCTTCTTCTTCTTCTTGTTATTGTTCTTCTTCTTCTTCTTCTTGTTCTTCTTCTTCTTCTTGTTCTTCTTCTTGTTCTTCTTCTTCTTCTTCTTCTTGTTCTTCTTCTTCTTCTTCCGGGTTTGGGCCCGAACCCGCCACCGTAATGCCAAAGCCCCCCACACACCTAGCCCTGGGCACCCTCGCTCAAAAAGCCTTCCAACATCTGCATACTCAGGCCACCGATGTGGACCGCAAAGACGACAACGGTAAACGTGGGGCACCCAGAGCTTAAACGCTACAGCCTAAAGCCTCAACTCTCACCCTAGCTGGAACGCATGACCCTAAACCTGGGAAGCTTCCTCCTGTGTCTGTTCTCTCGCAGCCAAGGGCCCATCGACTATGCTGCTTGGCTGACACATGGCTGGCTCTACAACCACTGCATGTGACCTGTTCCCTTGAAGCTGCGGAACCCAAGCCGACGCAGCAGGCCTAAATCCAAAAGACATGAACCGGAAGCCCTGAGCTCCGGACTCTTAAATCCTAGGCCCCTACACCCTACTTGGAGGATCATGGGACTTAGTAAGTAGGGTTATAAGTCCCTTATTTGGGCTTATAAGTAATTATAAGTACAGCTACCTTAATTATAACCCTAGCTACGAAGTCCCATGATCCTTCAAGTATCCAAGGCTAGGCAGACTGGCCGCGAACCGATCATCCGAATGCTGGAGAAGCTGTAAAGACCTCAGCTTCGCGGTGCGATGCATAGAAGACCTGGTAGCCTGAGAGTTCCCAAAACCCCTAAACCCTAAACCCTTACCCCTAAACCCTAAACTCTAAATCCTTAAGCCCTCAACCCTAAACCCCTAGACCAGAAAGGGTCCACTGCACTTTAAAAAAAAACCCTAGACCGAAACCCTAAACCCCAAAGTTGAGGGCTTTGGTGCATTTCCGTGCAGAGCTTCATACTGGGAGCTGGAGGAGGCGGTGAGGGGTTTGAGGCTTCGGAGCTGCGGGGGCTCCGCAGGGTTTTTCATCAAGGCTCCGGAGGTTGAATTAGGGTTTGTTTTTAGGGTTTAGGGTTTAGGATTTAGGGTTGTAAGGGCTTAGAGCTTTGGCTTTAGATTTTGTGGGTTGTTTTATTTAGGTTTTAGGGTTTTAGGGTTTAGGCTTTAGTAGTGAGATCTACGCTTTTGTCGATTCCGGAAGCCTGACCTGTTTTAAAAATCCAGACCCTAAGCCCTCGACCTTCCTTAGGGTCATCACAATGGAGCATCCTTCTATTTGGGGTCCTTAGAGCCAGGATCCTGGCTTGTAAGGCGACGCTACGGTCTGAAGTCCTTGAAAACAGCTTAAACCATGATTCTACTGTTGTCTAGATTAGGATCCCTTTGTTTTCTAAATATCAATTAATAGCGGGGCTAGGTTAAGCTCCCCTGTTCTACAAACCGCGACTTTGAGTTGTACCTTCAGCTCCAACGACTACGCAAGTCGCTGCTGTCGACGGTAAACGGGTTTGGTGTGTCGGGTCTGCCAATTCTCGCTTTACTTCGCCAGTCGCAAGTTCATTGTTCCCTACTTAAAGGATCATGGGACTTAGTAACTAGGGTTATAATTAAGGTAACTGTACTTATAATTCCTTATAACCCCAATTAATGTACTTATGACCCTACTTACTAAGTCCCATGATCCTCCAAGTACCTAGACCCCCAAAAGTAGGTGAAATAATAATGGCCCAATACCTATAAAAGGCTATTCTTCTACATACTTTTGGGGTCCAGGTAGATCCCACCCTAACCCTACTTACTAAGTCCCATGATCCTTCAAGTAGATCCCATGTCTCTCAAGGCGCAAATTCCAAAGACAGGGGCTCTCCGGCGTCAAGGTCGGAGACAAGGAGCGGGGGTCTTGCTGAGCCCTAAAAGCTTAAAGCCCGTAAAATCCTAAACCCGTAAACCCGGAGTACACAGCTTTTAGCCCCGAACCTTGAGCCGGAACAATGGAATCCGTCTTAAGGTTTTAGGGCCCGGGATGTGGAGGTTGAGCAAGTCATGTTTTAGGGTGGCTTCGGGGTTGTAGGGTTCCTTTAGGGGATCTAGAAGCTTCCGAGAAGAACGGTAAGGTTTCCACAGCGGTTTCTATAGAGTTTGGGTTGTTCTAGGGTTCTGAGGATATAAATGGCCGAATTCTTGTCTGAGAGCCGAAAGCCTGAGCCATTTAGGGTTTGGGGTGTGGGGTTTTGGCGGGCTTTGGGTTTAGACTTTTGGTTTAGATTTTTAGGTTTAGTGTTTAGAGGTTTGGGGTCTAGGGTTTAGGTGAACAGCACCCCGAACACAAAACACAGAGAGCGAGACCTGAAACCCTACAACTTGAATCCAAATCCTGAAGCCTACCCTGAAGCATGAGAGTTACATGCCGCTAAGAAGTGTTTGAGTAGGCTCCCAAGCCATTTAATGGAGAACACAGGAATGTGCCTTGAATCGTAGTAAGGATCCCTCTGCAACTTGAGGTTGTGTGCGCAAGTTAGGGCAGTTAGGGGTTTTGGAGCTTCTTGGAAAGCTGAGAAGGAGCCTGAGAAGAAGGAAACCAGTGTCACGGAGGTCAGTGTGAAGACGCCGGAGAAGGTCGGGGTCTGTACCGGGTGGTTGTTATGTAACATGTCGGTTGCGGTCTTTCGGTTTTCATTGAAATGATTTGCACTGGGTTGCATCGGGTTCTATGTGCGCCTTAGTGGCTAGAAGCGGGACGGGTATGCTAAACTGGTTTGAATAGACCCCCATGGTAGCACAGCGGTTTAAGGTTTTCGGTTTAGGCTTAAGCGTTTCTGACTGCTCGTCGTTTCCTTCGTCTTCTTTGCAGTTTTCTTGGTGTAGCAACATACCTCAGTAGTAGTAGTAGTAGTAGTAGTAGTAGTAGTAGTAGTAGTAGTAGTAGTAGTAGTAGTAGTAGTAGTAGTAGTAGTAGTAGTAGTAGTAGTAGTAGTAGTAGTAGTAGTAGTAGTAGTAGTAGTAGTAGTAGTAGTAGTAGTAAGTAGTAGTAGTAGTAGTAGTAGTAGTAGTAGTAGTAGTAGTAGTAGTAGTAGTAGTAGTAGTAGTAGTAGTAGTAGTAGTAGTAGTAGTAGTAGTAGTAGTAGTAGTAGTAGTAGTAGGATTAGTAGTAGGATTAGTAGTAGGATTAGTAGTAGTAGTAGTAGTAGTAGTAGTAGTAGTAGTAGTAGTAGTAGTAGAAGTAGTAGTAGCAGTAGTAGTAGTAGTAGCAGTAGCAGTAGCAGTAGCAGTAGTAGTATCAATAATAATGCGATGGCCTCAACCAGTCCAAACAGATCAAAGACGCCCCTTCGGGCCGACGTTCTTGGCACCCTAAGATCCAAAATCCCCAAAACCCAAACCCTAAGCCCTTTTGGGGTTTGGGGTTTACGCTCAAGAAAACTCAAAACCCAAAACCCCAAGCCCTTAACCGTTAACCCCAAAAGCCAGACAGTTAAAACTCCAGATCCTAACTTCAAAGGAAGAGCACCTTGAGGGCTTATCGTTTTGTGTTGATAGGGGGTTTATGGGGCTTTACTGGTATTACGTAGTGGGAGTGTTTATTCCTACTTGTTTTTGTTTGGAGTGTTTTTCGTAGTAAAGTCGTTTAGCAACTATAAGGGTACATGGTTCAGGAATTATAGGGGGTATGTATATTTGACCGTTTTTGAGCTCTCGGGTCCCAAAGCTCCAAAGCTAGCAGGATCCAGCGCCAAGGGACCGGTTCGGTACAAGAAGCCAAAGTGTCGTGAAAGTGAAGGCTCGCCCGATGTCCGCGCCTTGTGTCGGATGTCGAGGGGTTTTCCGCGGCCACGTCTTGGAAGGCTTGCGAAGTCCATTGGGGAGATGAGCTTAGTTTGGTTTCGAGGGGTGGGGTTCGCTTTTTCTGCATTGCAGCAGCAAGTGCATGACTGTATGCTTGTGATTCCCTAGATTGCTTCTTTGGGCGGGTTTCCCCTGTTACAGATCTAATTCCAAAAACCGTGCTCTCAGACGTTATCGGCCCATGCTGCAGGCTTCGGAGTTCTTTGCTTTTAGGGTTTAGGGTTTAGGGTTTAGGGTTTAGGGCTTTGAGACAATAACATGTTTTGCAGGGTCGAAAACCCCAAGATAAGAAGCCTTCAGGCCCGCGGTTCAGCAACCGCACTCAAGGAGGTCTGCACTCACAACTAGTCGTCGTCTCCCCTTATCATGCCTCAATGATTGTCCTAGAAGATATTCTAACTCCCTAGAATACATTCTACATGCTTCAATAATTGTCCTAGAATCTTATATATACCTCCAAACCCTCTTCTGACTACAGATGCCTTTTCTTACCTGGCTTGCCACGAGCTCGAGTTATCACCGGACCTCAAAGACTCCAAAACCCTAAACCCCTAAACCCCCAACCCAAAGTCCTCCACCCTCCCTAAACCCTAAGCCCCTCAACCCTCAACCCTAAACCCTCAACCCTCAACCCTAAACCCTAAACCCTAAGCCCTCAGCCCTCAGCCCTAAACCCTAAACCCTAAACCCTGAACCCTACACCCTAAACCGCCCTAAATCCTGAACTTTTCGGAGGCGGATGCCGATGTGCGGCAGCAGCTGAACGAGGCGACGGACATGAACCGACAGCCGGGCTCCCGACTTTGCAGAGCCTTCGGAGCTTGGGGTTTAGGGTTTGGGGTTTGGGGTTCAGGGTTCGGGGTTTAGGATTTAGGGAGTTCCCTTTGCGTTGCAGGGTTGAGGGTTTGCGATGTAGCTATGTAGGGTTTCATGGAGGTTTTATATGGTCAGATTTATGGAGTTTTTAATGTTAGTTCGTAAGGGTTTCGACTTTGTTGAGTTTGTTTTATGTGGTTTAACATTACGTAGTTCAGAAGGGTTTCTACATTTTCGGGGTCTTGCTGTCTAGGGTCGTAGGGCTCAGTTTAGGGTTTCGGGGCGGAGTGTAGTACAACTGTATAGCAACTTCATGGATTCGGGCTTTTCTGGTTTAAGGTGTGAATTTTTTTTGACAAGGTGTTGGGGTTTGTAGCTGTCTCTTTTAATTTAAGGCTTTGTGCTTTCGTTCTTGCAACAGTCATACCAGAGATCGTAAGAACAAAACGCAGGCTAGCACACGTATTCTCCATTGGGCTGTAGACTTTACAATCATCAGCAACCTGATCATCATTGGCATGTGCTACACGAGTAGAGAAAACGGGCTTAGTGTTTAGAGTCTAGGACGTTAGACGTTCAAAGGGCTCCCGTCCGCTTTCCATCCCTGGACTTGCCAAGATGAGTATCCCAAAGTATACACACCGGTCCTTAAACCCTTCTGATGAGGGCCACGAAACCATAAACCCTAAACCCTGAACCCAAGACCTAAAACCCTGAGCCCTAAATGCCAAGTTGTATGTTCCTCGTCTGCGTGAGGCATTTGTGCTAGCATATGCTCGTTGCGAGCGGGCCTGGATCCAGTTTGCTGAAAAATTTCCTGTCCTTATAGTTTGCCTGTAAACTGCTGCATTGTGGCGAGGCCTGACGGCCCACTAACAGTCTTTGTTCCCACCCCTCTCCCTGGCTGGTGGCACTAGCCACTGCTCGGGAAGAGGATGCGCAGGCCCTAAGGGAGATCTTATATTATCTGGGTTGTCCTTTGGGATCTTTTTTTGAATTTCCCCTACTATTTTCTAGAGAACCATACTAGTAAATAATTTTCAAAGACTCAGTTATGAACAACCGTCCTCAAGCCCCGAAGCCTTGACTTAAAGTAAGAGCCAGAAAGTTGGAATATGATTATCCTAAGCCCTTTATGGTAAATTATAAGGTATCCTACCCTGAAACCATATTCCAACTTTCTGGAGTTCCCTTTATCCTTCAAAGCTTTGGCCTCCAGAACCGAAAACCTATAAAAACCCTGGAAGGCTCTATGCTAACATCAAAGGGGAAAATGAGGGACCCTTGACGGGGACCCCTATCCTATAATGGGCTATATGACTATATAATGGGTATATAATAGCTATATTAAGGGTACATACCTAGGGGTCTGTCCCTCCTGTTCCCCTACTTCTAGAACCCTTTGAAGAACTCTTGAAGGAACCCTTAAAGGAGCCCTATTCCAATTATTAAGCTTCCCATTTTGAGCAAGCCACAGCTCTAGAAGTCTTTCGATCTGATGATTCCAAGGCTGCGCGGCGCGGTGGAGAAGGTCTTAGACAAAGGCTCCCTTCGACTTTTAGGGGGTTCGGGCTTCTAAGGCTGTGGGCCTCTGGACTTCTTTGTTCAGGGTTTAAGGTTCAGGGTTTCGGGTTTCAAAGGCTGAGGGCCTCTAGATCATGTTTGTTTTGGTTTAGGGTTTTTGGTTGAGGGTTGAATATTGGGGCCTTAATAATTAGAATAGGGTTTTGGCGCCCATAGGTAACTAATAAGGCCCCTACGTATAGTAGGGTTCAGGGTTTAGGATTCAGAATGCCGAGGGTCTCTAGATCTTTGATTGCGTCGGCTTCTCGAGCGTTTATGGTACCCATAGTTTAGAAAAGGGGTCTTCGATAGCGGCGCTGCATGGTGAGTATTTCTAGTCAAAGGGGAAAAGCAGAGACCCTTCCTGGGGACCCTACCCTACAATGGGCTATATAATGGGTATATAATAGCTATATTAAGGGTATCTACCTAGGGGTCCTTATTAAGGGTCCCTCCTTCTACCCTTACTAATGTAAGCTTTATCTTTCGGCCGTCGGACTGTCAGATGAGGGTTTTGGTATTGGGTGGAAAATGAAGGGTCTAAACGCGGCCCCTAGAGTGCAGGCTGTTGAGTGTTGGGATTCCGGGGCTTGGGATTAAGATTCAGGAGTAGACACGGCCTTTTGAGTTGTAGGGTTTGCTTTTTGGGGGGTTTTGGCGAGGCCCTAAACCCTAAACCCGAGCCCTAAACCCTAAGCCCCTAAACCCCAAACAGGGGAGTTTAAAGAGTTTCGGCATATTGCAGGGAGTGGGCTTTAGCATTGATGGTGGAGGGCTCTGGGTTCGGGACTAAGGTTTAGGTTCTTTTAGGGTTTAGCATATGGGGCTTAGGTTTCGTGTGGAACGTTCAGGGTGTAGGGTTTTCTGCAATGAGAGCCTGGGTCTTACGACATTCAAGGCCACGTCGAACGACTTCTGTGCTGCCCTTTACATCCCTCCTCTTAGGCCCTGAGCCCCAAACCGTAACGCCGAAACCCTAAATCCTGAACCTTAACCCTGAACCTAGGAAGCTTACCTGCGACTAAGACAAGCCCTAAACCTGGAACCCTGAACCCCAAACCACCGGCGAAGGTTGGAACAGCATCACTTGGCCGTCGAACTTCTCGGCTGCACACCTGGCAGCGAAGATGGGGGATGCACGGCACTTAAGAACTCGATCCTGGCTGGTACTGGCATGTCATAAGTCTTGAGTCCGTCGCATGGAGGAAAGGCTGATCAGGATGACTCTGACGATGAGGGCCATGACATGGCCGCAAGAATTCGTAATCCTAACATCACTCCCATGGAAAGTTTTTTCTCAAGAGCAGTCGCTAAACCCGAATCGACGACCCAATGACGTCGAAGGTTCGTTTTGGGTGTGTCGGGGTACCTTTTTCCGATGAGTGTCTTGCAGTGCACACTTCTAGAGTGGTGGACCTTCGTGCGAGAGAAGGCCGCACTTCAAGCACGAAGCCATGATCTTTGCCTGGGAACGACATGTGGGAAGCGACCCGAGAGCTTCCTGAGTAGTGCATCAGCATCGATGAGGTGAGGGCCATCAACATGCTTGCGCAAGCTGGCGCAGACCTTTCGTGCTCCTGGCTTCCTTTGACCCGCTTGCTGCCAAGATCCCACCGTCGATTCTGAACCACTTACCCTGCATTGAAGAGAAGCAGAGCCCGGAAACCCTAAACTCTAAACCCCAAGCCCTAAACCCTAAACCTTAGAGCTTAAAGCCCAACGACTAAACCTTGATGCCAAGGGCCCACCTTCATGCCAGGCGTGCAGATGACTGGCAGCTGACTCCCATCGATTACGCCAGGAGTCCGAGATGTCTTTGTTGTTCAAGGCTGTGGGGCACAAATCAAGGTAGTGTGTGTGTGTATATACACATATAACTGTATACACCTACATACAGATACACACACACACACACGTACATATATATATATATATATATAGTATATTATATATATATGTAGATGCAGATGCAGATGCAGATGTATGTGTGTCTGTATATGTACATGTATACGTATACACGTGTTGTCCGTATGTACTTCTGTATGTGTGTGTGTGTGTGTGTGTGTTTGTACGGATGTATGGACGGACGGATAGATGCATGGATGGGTGGGTGGGTGGATGGACGGATGCGCACATGCATGTGCAGATATTCTCACACATATATATATATATATGTGCATGTCCCTACCTACCTACCTACCTACATACCTACCTACCTAGTTGCTTGCCTGCCGCGAGGTACCTACCAATCTCTTGCGGATGGTGGTAAAAGGTTCCAGAACCCAGAGCCTCCAAAACCCCTTCATTAAGGAATGTACCTTAAATTATAATAGGATTCCTTTTATGATTTAAGGTATATTCCTAAATTAAGGGGTTTTGGAGGCTCTGGGAAGGATCCCACGAAACGCCAAACCCCCAAAGCCAAATGCCCTCAACCCATGGCTTGCAAAATCTAACTACTCTCAAACCCTTGCTTGGAGGATCATGGGACTTAGTAAGTAGGGTTATAAGTGCCTTAATTGGGGTTATAAGTAATTTCAAGTATTTCAAGTACGGTTAATTATAACCCTAGTTACTAAGTCCCATGATCCTTTAAGTACGAACCCTCGTGGGACACGAGAAATTCAGTATAGAAGCCTATGGAGTCCTTCCAGAATCCGGCAATCGAAACTGAATAGAAGCCTCATGAGGTTCTGAAACGAACGGACTCTTCATCAACAGGTCGATAAACTACTGTTAGAGTTCTACAAATTCCCTTACCCTGTAGAACACTCATGCTGAAATCCTGAATCGCAATCCCCAACCCAACGCTCTACACCTCAAAACCCCAAGACACTAAGCTCCCTAAACCCTAAACCCTAAAGCTCCGAAAGTCAAACAGCCCCCAAGGCCGCTCAAAGAGGGCAGACGGAAGTCGTCGCGGCCCTGCAGCGGCATCTTACGAAGGCTCCGAACTGTCAAAGGCTCCCAGGTGTCATGAGGCTGGGATACAGGGGCTTAGGGTTTAGGGTTTAGGGTTTGTCATGAGGCTTGGATACAAGGGATCCCTAATCCTACCTATCTTCAGAGCCATGCAGAAATTCTTTGACCCTCCTTGAAACCACCGATGCGCCAACCCTCCTTGGAACGGTTTAGGGTTTTGGGTTCAGGGTTTAAGATGCAGTGGCATTGCGGGTGTTTGTCCATGAACAGCATGACCATATACACGACCATAAGACCTTGTCTGAGCAAAGTTGCAAAGCAGGCGCAGGAGATGGCAGCAAGTGGAAAGTCTGCCGAGTGACTCGCCCAAGACCAGCCTGCGATGATCAGAAGGTGTGTGTCCCTTTCGTTAATTGTAAGGAGCCTCCAAGAATGGTCCAGTTTGGGCTATCACTGAGTTAGCGTTGAGCGCATACAGGTTTCCAGGTTCCATTGTGTTTGCTCGTTGAAGCAGATGTTGCCGTAGGCCATCAATACTCGAGTTGTACTCAGGGGGTTTAGGGTTTGGGAAGTAGGGCTTAGGATTTTGGTTTGGGGTTTCATGTTTTGGTAGTGGTAGTGGGTTTTTGGGTTTCAATTCCAGCTCGACGGATTGAAGTCATTGACTTTCACAGACTCTACAGTAGGCCGCACCTCAAACCCGAAGACGAGAAACCTACGGTGCCGGTATTTTGGTGGACTGCATGCCTCGCAATACCACGACATGAATTCCAAGTGTCCCCCGTGACAGCTAAAAGATCGTTCGCCAGTTTCTGTTAGTGGCCCCTGAAGCCGCAACTCAAAGCCCAAGCCTTAAACCCCAAACCTTACAGTAACCCCTAAGCCCTAAAGCCTCGCCCCTTAAGTGTTTGGTGCCGCCATAAACATGGCATTCTGCAACCTCAGGCAGTCGCCTTCGTCCCCACGACAAAGGGCCCAGCTCTTACGCGCAGGTTCATGGTTTCGGGTTTAGGGTTTCGGGTTTAGGGTTTAGGGTTTAGGGTTTAGGGTTTCGGGTTTAGGGTTTAGGGTTTAGGGTTTAGGGCCGAGATCAGAGAGTTTGAGTGGGGTTTTGGAGGCACTCTACGCCCATGCCCTCGCTTCCCAAGGACTCGGAGGCAGCGGTGTCGAGAAGCCCATCGCCCGGCGGCCTTCCCAAGTCTCCCCAAAGGCAGCCTCAACAAGTTCCCCCAAAAGAGCAGCCTCCACGATCTCCTTTAAGGGAGTCTCCCCGGGGCTCCCGGGAGGAGGCCTCCCCAAGCTCCTTGGGATCCCCGAGAACCTCGGTATCTCGGAGCCCAGCGCAGGGCTCCGGGAGCTCCCAAACTTCGGAAAACTCCACTGAAACCGCGCCGGTTTCGCTTGGGCAGCCTGGGCATGATTGGAATAGGGTTCCTTTAAAGAAATCCTTCAAGACTTCTATAAGGGATCTATAAGGGTACCATAATAATAAATATTTTTGTCCACGCTGCTGCTAATGCTACGATCACGACTACTACTAGGGACGGCTGCCCCGGCTCGGCTGCTCCGATAATGCAGCTTGGTAGAATCTGAAGCCATGCAGCACGCAAACTCTAGTGTATAAAGCAGCTCTGAGCAGGTCTTGCTGTTGGAAACGAGATGATGCCTCATAGACATATGTGATAAAATAGGTTCTCGTCTGCAGTCTGCAGACACACCCTCAAGAATGAACCCTTCAAGCAGATGTAGGGGTTTAGGGTTTCGGGGTCCTAGACCTCGAACCTACTCCCCAAACCCTGTGTAGAAACCTTGTAGAACGCTTAGACAAGACCTTTACACAACCCCAAACCCGAATGCCCTAATACGCTGATACCCCAGTGCTCCAATATCCCAATACCCAAAAACCTTAACCCCTAATCCCTAAGCCGAAATACCCGAATACCCTAAAACAAAATCCCTAAATACCTTAACTCCTAATCCCTAAACCCTAAACCCAAATACCCGAATACCCGAATACCCCAATACCCAAAAACCTAAACCCCTAAACCCTAAACCCCCAACCCCTAAACCCGAAGCCCAAATACCCGAAAGCAAGTCTGAAGCCAGGTCTCCCACGCAGGCGCCGAGGTCTTCCACCGCCTCGCCGAATGGCGCACGTTCGCGTCCCTCCACGGCTTCTCGGGAGGACTTTCATGAGGGCTTCCTTCAAGGGTTCCTTCAAGGGTTCCTTTAAGGATTCCTTTAAGGATTCCTTTAAGGGTTCCTTTAAGGGCTTGGCGTATTAGGGTATTCGGGCTCAGGCAGTTTATAGGAAGGCCCTTGAAGGCTCCTTGGGTTTGGAGTATAGGGTTTAGGGTTTAGGGTTCCGGTTTAGGGTTTAGGGTTTAGGGTTTCGGGTTCGGGTGCTCCATTGGGCGGTTATAAGGTCTTTACAGGGAGCTTATAGTGTTGTAAAGGCTCCATTAAGGGTTCTATGGAGTGCTGATAGGGTTTTACCAGGGTTTCCATATTAGGGGTTCTTACATGGTTCATGCTCCAAGGCAGAGCTTGGGGTTCGGGGCCGGAGACTTAGAGGGTCACATGTCTGTAATGTCAGTACTCGGTATCTTAAACCCTAAACCCGAGCAACTACTCGATGTTTTGGACCTTAAGGGACATCTGAAGACTGAAGCCTTTTGGAAACCCTCTCGTCGTCTTACGTTCAGGGCTCTAGGGTCGAAAAGGCCCTTGTGTTCTACGGCTTTAGGCTGTTTGCCAGGGTTCTCGCAGGGTCCACGGTCGATGAACCCTGCATCCCAAGACCCTAAAACCGAAAAGCCGGTTCTTTGTTTTCTTCAACAATCCCTCAGCCGTCTGAGCCCTAAATCCCAAACCCACACAAGAAACACCCTTTAAGCCCGGAAGCCTCAATTCCCAAAGCCTTGAACCGCCTTAAACCCGGAAACCTTGAGCCCTAAACCCGAACATTTTGGAACCCCAAAGCCCCAAAATCCTGAAACCTTACTTCCCCGTTGCAGCAGCTCTTGTTGGAGTTGAGGCCAAAGCATCGCTGGCAGACCCTGGCCCAATTCCAGACGGACTGAGGCCGATCGGGGGTTTTAGGGTTTAGGGTTTAGGGTTTAGGGTTTAGGGTTTAGGGGTTCGGTTTAAGGGTTCAGGGTGCAGGGGCGGGAATGTATGTAGGGTTTAGGGGTTTAAGGCGCTAGGGTTCAGGGTTTTGGTGGTCTATACCTGTATTGAAACCTTTTTGGCTCTGTGAGGACAGCCC